TCCCTATAAATGTCTTCCTTATACTTTAGAAGACTTTTGACTACAATTTTAATCTGCATAAATTTTGATTCATATAAGCCAGAGTATCAAGTCCATACCATGCTAGAAAAAATATTGTGTTTATTAAAAATTTGTTCTGTTTCAGAAAAACTGTGAAACAAATATGAATTAATATTGGCACTCCTGTTAATAGTGTCCTGCAGTTTAACAAGAAGTGGATGGTTACTAATGGAGAGCAACCTTGCAAAAAATTTTGATTGTAAGTATTTAAACCTAAGTGCTAATGGAGGTATATTACATTCCACCTGCATTGACACTATGAGAGTAGTTCGCACTGCACCCATTATAATACGCAAACAATTATTCTGTATCTTTTCTTATTTATCTACTACACTTCTTACCCCTGCAAAACAAAAAAAAGCATATTCAAAATGACTCCTTACTAATGATTTATAGAATGTTAATAGAATCCTTGGATCAGCACCCCAATGTGTGCTTGTTAAAGATTTTAAAACATTACAAGCATTTAAAGCTCGAGATTCTAGAGTTTCAGCATACTTATTCCATCTAGAATTGTTTGTAAAAATAACACCTAAAAACATTACAGAGCTCTCTACAGACATTACATTATTATTGAGCATGATATTTACATTCTCATTTCTGATTCCATTTTTGGAAAAGACAAAAACTTTACTTTTTTCATTGCTGACCGACCTCCAGCCCAAGGCTATCAAAATAGTTCTTTAGTCTTTGGAGAGCAACATTGAGGACTGATTGTACATGTAAAAAATTAGTATCAGAGCAATAAACAAATAAATCATCTGCAAACTGCAGATTAGAAATTTCACACCCTAGAGTTAAATTTAGCTGATGTATGAATAGGATAAAAAGCAATGGGCTCAATACACCAGCCTGTGATACACCCCTACAAGAATATCTTGGACCAAATAACTGATTGTTGACCTTAACATACACCTTTCTGTAGTTCAAAAAATTAAAAATCCAATTTACAACTTTTCCAGGTAACTGCAGTAATAATAATATTGAGGATAATTTGTTCAGATGTACATTATTGAAAGCCCCTACAATGTCAAGAAAAACAACAACTAGTACTTTATTCTCGGAACGAGCATCGTGGATATTCAGACTGAAATGACGTGGACTCTCACAAGCAGAACGGCCACAACGAAAGCTAAACTGATTGTAAGGTAAAAGATTATTACTTTCTTTGTGAAAAATTAATCTCTGTTTTACTCATGTGTACGATAAGAATCAGCCAAATTAAAGTCTTTGCCAGGTTTTAATATTGGTACCAAACAGTCAACTTTCCAATCCTCTGGGATGAAAGAAGACGACCATAAACAATTTAATAGACTTAAAAAAAATAGATAGAGTTTGAACATTTAAAAGTTTAAACATTCTGTAGGAAAACGATTTTTTGATGAGCAGAATTCAGAGTTCAGACCAACTTTTACAACGTTCTTCTTTTAAAGTGCGTTGATTAAAGGCTTGAAATTAATGTAATTTTTACTATTAACTATTAAGACTAGTTTTGAAATTAATGTAGGCGTTCTTGCAGTCTTCTACTACTTTTGAACATTTATCATTCCACCAAGATACTTGACACCTTTTTGTAGGACGGTTATTATTACTATCAGTTGTGTTATGGTTTAAGCCGGGCCCGGAGAATTTGATTGCCAATAGAATAATTGCACAAAATCACTATTGTCAACTTTAAAGTTCATTAACATTTTATAAACAACCTGTTCGTAACTATCCCAATTTACTTATTTCAGATTGCTGTGAAAAGGAATGTTGTTTAAGGAAATAGAGGGTTCATGTTGATCTTTTATGAGAGTAAATTTTATGATAGTTGGCAGATGATAATTGCCTAAAGGGTCCTGATGAACTTGCCAGTCACAAGAAAGAAATAAAGAAGAAGACACCATAGTTAAATCTAGACTGTTGTTTTGGAATACTGTACTGTGTACTGTTTGGAATAAACGATCGAACTTCGCCTTTTCAAAAGCAGGAAAACTATTACCAGGACTGTAAAAACTAAACAAAAAAATGCAATTATGTTTCAGTTTAATAATAATCCTACATTTTGTAACAAATCATCGTAAAAAGTATGTAGTTTAGAGAAATGTATACCATTTTTAATTAATATTGCTACGCCATTATGATCATTACCGCAGTCATTCCTAATAATGGTATAACCACGTAAATTAAATTGAATGTTAGGCTTGAGCCAAGTTTCTGAAATAAGAGCTAGCTACATGTATATTATTTTGGTATAAAAAATTTTGAAACTCAAGTCTGTTACTTAAAGGACTTTGAGTGTTCCACTGTACAATATTTTGTGGTTAAGATTTGGTGGTTGAATGTGACGATTTGCTATTTTTGTCCTGGATGGTTTCTTTGATAGCTGAGCTAATAAATTGTGAACTAATACTTATATTTTGAGTTTTATTTAAAGTTATAACTTTTACTATAGATTCTGTTAATAGGGTCATTGCTTCAGAATTTGATAGTATTTCTTGGATTACTTCTTGGGTATTTAATTTTTTATTAAGGGAGGGAAAATTTAATGAATCTTTTAACTTCAGCATATGACTTGGGTTTACTGTTTGCGAATTTCTTTTGCCTTATAGGGCACTGGCTAGAGGTGGCAATGTGATTGCCTTTACAATTAATGCACTTAGCTTTTTCAATGTTAACCTTGCATTCTTTGAAAGAATGCCCCTCTGTGCATATGGAGCATCGCGGTGAATTTTTACAAAACTTAGCCAGATGATCATAGCGTAAACATTTATAACACTGTTTTATAGGTGAGACATATGTGGAGACGGGCAGGCGCCACCTCTTAATGTGAACATAGTCCGGCAGTGACGTAGCAGACGCAAAAGTTATTACTACGCTCTGAGTAGGTTGCAGTGTGAAGGTGATATTTTCTCCTTTTACTTTACACATTATGCGTCGGACAGAAATGACTTTTTTTGTAGTTGATATTGCTTTATATATTTTGTGATTGGATGTATGAGTGGGAACCGGAGAGATAACTCCCTATAGTTCGGTGGCCCCTGCTGGTATTGAAGCTTTAAGTCGTTCCTTTAGATATTTAGTATTCTCTAAAATGGCATTTGCCAAATTCGCACGTTGGAAAACGACACCGACCTTATATTTATTTATTATTTTTAAATATTGTATATATACCTTTCACAGAGCGTATAAAACTAGTACTAAGCGACATCATGTCCCTATTACCGAGTGGGACATCATTAGTACTTTCGACAAATACTATGAATTCAGACTTGGCTTCCGCATCTTCAGGGTATCGCCGACAATAATCAGCGACCCTAAAGGGATCGAAGGTTTTTACATCCTGCAATACTGGCGAATCCTCGCAATCGGAATCGCTGCTTGTGCTGAAAGGCAAGGACTCACCCGAATCCTTCTTTCTACGTTTTTTAACCATCTCTCCACATAAACACTTATATACAGATTAAGTTTTCCTTCTTTACAATGAATAAAGTAAACAAAAATTTGCAAATTATAGTATTAAACTATTTAAAATATTTAATTAAAATTTTCAAAAAGCCCGCGTCAACGTTTCAATTCTCGCTTTCTCTTTTTCTGTCTCACCAAAGACAACATTTTTGACACAAGTTTCCGCTATTTCATAAATCTTGGAGGTGAATTCACATTTACTTATTCAAACAGAAATATGTTAATAACTAAGAAGAAAATAATTATACCAAATATATCTGTTTCGTTTTATTAAAGTTGTGTAACACCAAGTTCTTTGTAAATGTATAAAAAAATATCTTTTAAAAACCGTGTAAAAACAATAACGTAATAGAATTGCATCCTAACATTCTATTGATAACATACTTTATTAGATTTTATGACCCATTGCTAGATACTTGGTATCCTATTAAAGACGATGCTTATTTGATACAAAGATTGGACATTATACTCAAAGAATTCCTTTATATCTTACAGACAAAAGTGTTTTGATTATAGTTATAAATTCAAGATAGTGTCAAAGTAACAAGGGACGCCAAAAAATAATAAGAAATGCGGAAGCCTCGCGCTCGACTGCTGTCGTCGATTTTGTTTTGTAATATTTTATCCTGTAGTCACGTACACTTTGATTTGTGAAACAATCTATTACTGTATCCATTTTCTGCATTAGAAAAATGTTACTCTTTTCAAAATGGTTTCCAATTAGTGGAATAAAAGAAAACGTATACAAACTCATTGTAAAAGCTCTGTAATTACTTTATACAAGGACTGGTCACCATAGACAATATTTTTGACATAAGTTTTCGCTATTTCATAAATCTTTGAAGTGAATTCACATTTATATATTGAAACAGAAATAGGTTAATATCTAAAAAGAAAATAATTTTACCAAATATATCTGTTTAGTTTCATTAATGTTGTGTATTTATGTATGTAGTTGTGGATTATGTATGTAGTTGTGGATATTTTGATCAAAGGATTGCACAGACCAAACCATGAGGCTTTCAGTAGAGCGATGGGCCTGCGTTCAGGAGAGAATGTTATTAGAAACGCATACAAGCACAGCGCCTAGCATAAATTAATAGCAATGTGTACAAACGTATACTTGGTTGTTGATTTGTGTTAGGTACTCACTTCTATATTATATGGTTGCACGGTGTTATCTTATTGTTAAACAATAAAAAACATATAGTTTTCTAGCATTAAAAAGTCTTGATCATTTTTCATTTCATCAGGTTATGGGCCCAGCACGCTTCAACTGCGCCACTCTGTTAAAACAATTAGATTCAGACTTTAAGCCTGAATCATCAGTTATTCCTATCGTTCCTTACTGTAACAATTAAAGTGCCATTCGCATTTCTTTAAATGAAAGTTATCAACAACGCAGTAAACACATCGATGTTCGCTATCACTTTATCCGAGAGAGGATTGCTGCCAAACATGTCCTAGTAAAATACCAAAGGAGTCAAGACATGATTGTGGATATTTTGATCAAAGGATTACACAGACCAAATCATGAGGCTTTCAGTAGAGCGATGGGTCTGCGTTCAGGAGAGAATGTTATTAGAAACGGAGACAAGCGTAGCGCCTAGCATAATTTAATAGCAATGTGTACAAACGTATACTTGCTTGTTGATTTGTGTTAGGTACTCACTTCTACATTATATAGTTGCACGGTGTTATCTTATTGTTAATACAATAAAAATAAAACTTAAAATACGTCTAACACAAACATACACTTTTTAGGTCGGTATTGCTAAATGAATCATTGATTATTTATTTTCAAGGTTCTATGTACTATTGTATGAGACTTTTTTTCTTCGTCGTTGTATGCAAATAATAATTTACCTAGTCATTAAAACTTTGTTACTTACATGACAAACACTTAAATCATTGTTTTTTATATTTCATTAAATCAGTTTGTGACATAAAAGTATAATGTATCTGAAATCTAAAACTTTTGTTGTGACACTCGTATCATTTATTTTGGTTTACCAAGTAACAACGAGGTTCACTATCTCACGCTATGTTTTCTCCGTTTCCTTTACTAAAAGTGGTTGTGATTTATGGATATTTTCTTCAATAAAACACGTTGAAACGAAACGTAACGTAATAATATTTGTGTGAAACTCTAATCAGATTTCGACAGCCATTTCTTTCTTCGCCATCTTGAACATTGTTAGAATATTTAGATTTATTCAAAAATGATGGAAACGTCATTTTTATATTGTTACGCTGTTTAAGTATTAGTTTTACGTAAATATGTGAAACATTTAATGCTAACATGTACATACATATATTTAGCCTCATTTTACAATTAGCCCTGTAAGACATAAATACCTTTTTTATAATATTTAATGTTACTTACAAGAGATGAGAAGAGAATGAAAAGAGAAATATATTATAATACTAGTTTTTGCCCGCGACTTCGTCCGCGTTAGTTTGGTCAAGAGTAATATATGTAGGTATAGCTGACCAGGCGAACTCTATTCCGTCTTAGAGGCCATAAATAATCAGGTTTTTCCTGTTTCAATCAAACAGAAAGATTGACATTTTAGTTAGTTGTCAAATCTAATGTCAAAAAAACGTTTGTATGGGAAATAGAAAAGGGCTGTTTTTAGGGTTTTCCCGGAAATTATTCCAATTTTTCTCACCTTTTAAACCTTCCCTGGACTTTCAGGAGTATTTCAAGACTAAAATTTGCCCAATCGGTTCAGCCGTTCTCGAGTTTTAGCGAGACTAAGGAACAGCAATCCATTTTTATATATATAGAAGATAATATACTTGTCGAACTTATCGGAAAGATCTGTTAGCGGTGCCTTTTAGAAGTGTTTTATTGAAGAAAGGACACGAAGAAACTTGTAGTAAAAGAGGTAAAGGTTTATTACAGCTTATATGTTATATGTATCAATTTTTATATGATATATTTGTACAATATTTATTTATAAATGTTTGTCTTTATTTGTTTTACCTTAATAAGTTTACAAAATTATGTGATAGTTAAACATTTCGTACTAACCATTGACGCGATATAACAAAAATTAAATAGCATGATAAACTTATTCCATTAAATAAAATTATCGATACATTGATTTATTTGTAATACATCGTTATTACGTAAACTTCCTTTTTCAACATTGAACAAAACTTATGACAAACTTCACCGAAATCTTCTTAAATAAACCTCACTTATCTAACGTGTAGTTGTGAACAAAATTTATAGGACAATCTTTTGGGTCTTTTTCAATGTCCTTTTATATTGAATGTCATTTATTCATATCGATTATCCAACCTTTAATCATTTTGTTAGAATCAGGTGTTTTAAACATATCACTACATTATTTTTAGAAATGCCTTAGTTGGTTTAATCGCACCACTTGCTGTTGGTTCAATTGTACTGGTACGATTTACCCGACTACCAACCGCAAGTGCCTATAAAACTACCACAAGTACGTATAGTAAGTACTACCCAAGGCCAAAAACAAAAGTTATAAGAGGAAACGATCTCATTCCACCACCAGTAGCGATGATTCTGGACAGGAGACACTTGTTGTAGAACTGATGATGACAGCGATGATTATCTTGAAAATATATGTCGAAAGTGCAATTGTTCTTACTATGATAAGAAGGTTCCAAAAGTTGATTGGATTCAAATTTCAATGTGTTCGCTGTAAACGGTGGCTACAGTAGACGTGTACTTCGAATCCAGACATTTGTCATGATTGTTTCCATTAAGAAATATGCACAATAATTATATTACAAATAACATTCTTGTTAACTGTTACTTTATTATTATAGTTTACTGTTTTTTTTGTCTCATTTTTATTAGTTATGTTGATTGATCTCATTATCATAGTATACTTAATCATGTTATTTTACTGAGAAAGCTTATAGTTCCTTTATATAAAAATTATGTTTTTATTACCTAAAAGATATAAATAATGTTGTTTTGTTACTTACCTAAAATAAATAATTTGATTGAGAATTTTAATGTCTTTCATTCAGTGGTATTACTTAAACACCCATGGTACAATTTAAAGACTTAGTGGTACGATTAAAACGACTAGTCGGCTAAATCGTACCGATGGCAAGCCTCTATAATAAAGCATTTTTAACAATGTTAGAATAATCGCAGGGATCTGTTCTCTTCTTCTTAGGAAACTAAAATATGAAACTTTATTTTACATATGTATTAATTATTATTAGACGTGTTATATTTGAGTCGAAATATTTGAGTTAAAGTGAAAAGTGGTACGATATGTCCGACTCTCCCTTATTTGGAAAATTATTGATCCTTTTTTTGACGTAATAACGTCTTTAAAATCGTTTTAGTCTGGTGACATGTTCAGAAACTTGTGTCACACCAAAACCACACGAGCGCGATCGCAGGTATGACGAGAGAGAGACGGACTGATCTCCCGTCTCTCTTACTCTAGCGGCATACAAACGAATGGAGATTTTCTCGTGCGGTTAAGTTTTCGTTGAATGTTTAACAGTGAAACAAAATGTGAAGTGCAAGTGAAGTGTTACAACAATTGCAACGTAACAGCTGAAAACCTTCCTTTTATACATATCTTACTTTTCCTATCATCGTCCTATCCTGAACAGAACTACCCAGATTGGAAACAGATAAATTTACGTGAAGATTGTAACTGATCGTATTGTATGTTATGTATGTATGTATGCATAAATGTTTGTATAAATGTATAAAAGTGTGTTTGTATGAATGTATGTATGAAGAAAAATGTATATCATAGTCGAATAAGTAAACTTGTCATTTTACACCCGAAATTTATCATCAAAAGTGTGAATAAAACGATAGATGTAATTTAAAATTTGAAAAAATTGTTATCTTCATTAATTCCTTACTTCCCAAAAACTTATATCACCAATAAGACGTTATCACGTAAACATCTCGATCCTAAACCTACTTTACAAACAACCAATTTTTTAAGTTTGAAAATTATACAGGGTGACTGGTGAATTACTATCGATATTTGAGGACGTGATATTTGACGATCATATATGACAAAATAAAAATTAATATAACATAAATATTAATAAACTTCTAAGTAAAGTTAACCAAAAGTTATGTAATTAATTACGCATCGTATGAACACCCTACAGATTAGGTATACACACACACTCACACAGACGCGGTGGCGGCGTAGTGTTGTATCAGCACGCCGCCGCACGCGTCCACACTAAGAACACTTGGAACGTGTACACACTTTATTTATTTATACGGAAATTTGGTCAAAAATTAAGTACCTATTTTTTTTACATAATTCGAATGAGAATCATGTACCGAGTATGCTCCTTATAATTCACCAGTCACCCTGTATATGCTACTTATGTTAATTTTATTAGAAGGTAAAAAATGGCTTATCAAGGTTTTCTTAATCTGAAGTTTAAAAAAATAAAATACTTCGTCTGATGCTTCTCAAATTCCAAAACGCAAAACAATTTGTAATCAGGCGTCCTTTCAGCGACCAAATTAAAAGTTCGCATGTAATTAATTAAAAGTATTCTGAATCGTTACCTTACTTACGAACAATGAATATGAGACCAACTCGTAATTAAGTTAAATAACTAAGAACTCAAATGATTAAACAGACTTTCTGAATGCTAAATACACTTCAATTTATATAACAACAAATTTAATTTAGGTCCCTGTCTTGGTTACGGACATATTATAAAGATTTACAAATTAAAAAATAATAATTATAAATTAATATAAAATTTTAAATATATTTTAGTAAGTTTGAACAGTTTTTATATTATAACAGTTTTCACTGCATATTTACAAAGCATATAAATAAATAAACATATAAGTAATATGTACGTAACACTTTATCTTATTCAACGGTGCCATCTAGTTAGAAAATTCCAAATTAGAAACTAGAAAGGCTTCAGTGTGAAAAGTATTTTTTATTTATTTCGACCTGTGCTGCCATCTCTTGGCACCGCAGAAAATTTGATATTGTTTGTATAAAATACGACACAACCGTGTACATGTAGTACTGGAGTAATTCGTTAGATGTCCCTTTGGACAATACCATGTATTCGTAATAATTGTTGATTAAAGTTTAAAAACCCAGTTTCTACTCCATTAAATAGTATTGTTTTAATTAACTAATTGAGTGATTGATTGCTGAAAATTAATGCTCCTTATTTAAGGTCATATATATACTTTCAACATTTATATCCAAATAACCGGGCTTTCTGGCAAAATCCAAGAATTAAAGTATTGGGTACATCTATAGAAAAACTTTCAGCTTCTATAAATCAATGAATGCCTGGCTGGCCCTGGCTCTTGCTCTAATTGATTTTGTATGAATTAAAGACATTCTAGCGACATTTATCGAAAAAAAATTGGAGTTTCATGTATTTAACTCACAAAAATATAACAGATGGCGTTAGCAGTTTAATTAATGCAGGCCTTGATTTGAAATACATAAAAATATAAATGTTACATTTTAAACTGTTTTTGAATATTATGAGTTGAGTTCTGGACAGATTATCGAAATACTAATGACTTATACTATTATAGTATTAATTTAAACATATAATATATAAAAAGAAGACAGACCATTATCTGTCGAGTCAGCTGTACATAATTAAGAAACTAACTTACTTGAGATAAAAAAGATATTTAAACAGATATTTCTAGATTATGGGGCGGTACGAAGTCCACCGGGTCATCTAGTTTTAAGATAATAACTGTTTGAAATAATAAGTGTTTGAAAGAGTCAAGATGCTAAAATTTAAGACTAATTTTGAAAAGAAAAACTAACGTTTTAAATTAAAAATTTATAATTTCATACAGATCTTAAAATAAATGTCCAGTTATATTTTTGATAGCGATGTCTTTTATTAAACAACTTTTGTACTTAGACTTTTATTATACAGCAATAAAAAGCTGTCTTTTGTACCGATGTAATGTAGACAATATCTAATAATATAGACAGTACCTATTATGTTTCACTGTTAACTGAGGAACTAAAATATATAATATATCAGTATATTTTCTATTATATTTTGACTTTCTTTTGTTTGGGATACTTTTCATGATAGTCAAATCACTTTTATTTATAAAAGATGGACTCGTTATTATTTTGATTTACAACTAAGTACATTCACTAAATGTTAAGTATGACATTCAGGTAAAGTAATAGCCTTTGCCGACGGGAGCTCACGTGTTGATTTATATCAAACAGCTTATATTACTGAAACTTAAAATTGCCTTTATATATTATTAATAAAACGTACATTACAACTAATAGAACTGAAAAATTTTGTTATTATTTAAATATCTAAAAAATAGCGTTTTAATTTAACCATGGTTATAGACGATAAAAAAATCTTTTATTGTATATAACCATGATATGCATAAAATTTTGAAAGCTGTACTTAGACATTAGGATAAAACAGAGAATACATTATGCAAATCTTGTGTTTGATTGCGGAATCTATTACTCACATTTGCTTAAACAATTCTATGTTAACCTCTGAGATTAAACATTCAAAGCAGTTTTAGCGGCTTTTAGTGGTTCACCCAAATTCTTAGGCTTTACCAATCACATCGGGGTCAACAGGAAATTAATCCGCGTGTTTCGTTGCCAAACCTGTCCGAGTGCGTTTGGATAGGATTCTATGTAGTATAGTCATGGGAAGGATCAATATGTCAAAACCATTTTCGGTCAGATATATCCCTTTATATTAGTAAAGATCACTAAAGGCAATCCAGCGCTGAACTCAATTAGACAGACATAGAAGCTTAATAAAACATTAAAAACTAAAAGTAAAATAAAACTTATAAAACTAAACCTTTCTATCGATAATTTAAACCAATTAGTTTGATATTGGTATCTATTTTGATATGAATATTATATGAATTAAATAATAAACTTTTGTAGCTTCACTTCAGTTCTTAAACAATTTTTTTAAAAAGGTCAATTTATGTATCTTATATACAAATTTAATATATCCTTTATTATTTCACACAATCGTGAGGAATTATATAAAAATAATAAATAATATGTCCTTTAGATTAAAACGACCTTTGTACATATCTCTTTGCTATAAATCTTTTGATACAAAGTGAATTTGGTTGATCGATTCCACTTAAAACCTATCGATCAAATTCAATATAGGCCAATCTGATTCAATCCCGTCTGTTTTGTTTGACACTTGTTTATCCAACATCTAGTTTAGGTGGGTAAACTACATTTTAGTTGTATTTAGGCAAAGCTTTCAATGTCGAATTTTGATAAATTTTACATCAAGAGAAGTACAAAATTTATATTTACCACCCCATAACTAACTAATTTAGCTTTGTGCGTTGAGAATATATGTAATCTACCCCGATTGGTCTGAAGCAAAAAAGAAGAGGCTGTCTGTAGTTACTTAGAAATTTTTATATATTTGGTCTATAATTATGAAATTAATATCAATTACGTATTGATATTAAGTTCATAATTATTGTAGGTAAATTAGAATTAGTGTGGTATTTCGCACATAACTTCGTTAAGTACTAAATAAGTTCATTATCCAATCATCGAATGTATAAGCAATGATATATGATAACATTTTGACAGACATACAATAATTTAAATTTTAATTTTAAAAATATTTTAACGTAACCATCTCTAAATAATGATATTTTCAAATTAATACAACAGCATCGATGTGTTTCGAATGTCTTTCTTTTGTGGAGTTATAAACATAAAAAGTGTAAGCGGATATTTTTCCTAAGGTAACGCAACTACCAACCTTAATATAGAATATTAATAAATAAGCTGAACTAGAAACCGTACTTGATACTTAAGGTTTTTACAAATACACATACATATAAAATCCAAAATTGAGAGTTAAATAAAAATACATATAAAATATTCACAGGCCTCAACTTTGTACCAAACTCCGTTGAGGACACTCAATTTATTGGACACCTTCTGTTTCAATTTTGCGTGGAGTATGTGACTAGTCCCGTGGGAACACCACAAGAAGCCTGACCCGGTCTAAATAGGGACCTAATGCCTTTCAAGTTTGTGGGTGGATTAGGTTAGGTTAGAAGAATTTCTAAGTTTAAAACAAACATTTCTGGTTTACTGCTGCAGTTGTAACGTTTTTTGTCCACATTGTCTTTTTTTGGCCCGGTTGCTGCTTAATAAGAAAGGATGGTTTTCATCTCAATTTTTTAAAACCAGTTGTCTTAACATTAGCCAGATTGTTGGATCAAGTAAGAAATTGTAAAATGAATAGAAAAGTTGACGGAAGATCTCATCTGAACGTGATCACGGTTTTTGTAAAGTAACCAAAACGTCGGGTTAAATATGAAACAATATACCTAATAAATCTAAAAATCACATCTTCATTAAGAATGTCTTACTTTATATTTCATGTCCTGGAAACTATACTTTATTTCTAGAGCAAAGTATCTGACGATTTAAATGTATTGATGTATAATCTCGATAAATTTGTTAAAAGTAACTGCAGTACATGACCTTTGCAATACATGATTTTAGTTTACATGATTTTTTTTTGATGTCGCAGGAAAACTCTTTTTACAAGCCCTCCAACCGGCCTTGGTGGGGCTGGAAGAGATGTGTGAGACTCGACCTGGGCAGGCCCCTACTCACTTAAACCACTGCGAAAGTCATCGGCCGCTATGTCCGTGTACCCCGGATCTGTCAGCGACATTAATTACATACTGTATATTCTTATGAGTTTTTAAGCGTTATTTTGAATTTTCATGCATACGCATATTAAATATCTACATATATATTTGTCCCTAAAGTTATGATTACTTTATTCCATTACATTTAGCAAAGAAGTAGTATTATTTTTTAAATAAATGAATGCATATTATTATCTTGAGAAATAATTTTTATGAATAAGTGTATAATAATTGTTATCTTAAACGCTGTTTAAGAGACCACTCAATTTTATTTCATTAATATGTTATTTGAATAACAGAAAGTAGATCATGTTTTCCCATTGTATAAATAATGAAATTAAATAGGCCATTTAGAAAGCTATTGTGGTTTTACGACATTATGTAACCACGACTGTAATTCCTCTTAGATATAATTTTCTTGAGAGTACTTATTATACATTCTCTTTGTTTATTTTGCTATCTTAGAATGACGGTCTTTCAAGCACTTTACACTAACAGTAATTGGAAATCCTCAGTATCTATGAGTACAGGCTCCCGAACGGGATAATGAAGAAATATTGTAGCTTCAGCATCTTCTATTTTCTCTGTTATATGTATGTAAGTATAAAATAACATATTTCGACCTCTCTTATATGGGGTTAAAGAAAATTAACAATTCATGTAAACTAACGCCGAATGAGCCGCGGGACCAAAACCCTACTGCGCTCTGCGCAAAGGGCTCCTGCGGTGAGGGTGATTAGCGGGTACCGTACGGTCTCCTGGGCCGTAGCGACTGCCCTTGCCAGCGATCCGCTTTGGGATCTCGTGGCGTCGGTTCGAGCCGAGCTGTTCGCCTATGTCTCGGGTAGGAGGGCACTCGGCGAGAACCCTTCGTCGGAGGAGACATTTGGAGACATTGCCGTAACAATAAATAGTAAGAAATAAAGAAGGTCAGTAAGTAACATTAAACGAGAATATTTTTCCCGAACATTAATTGCTTGTTGCATTTCAACCAAACGAAAATTCGCGAAATTACCTCAAAAAAAATTTTCAAGATTTAATGTAAACACAATATGTTTAAAATCTGATTCCCAAATGGGTAACCAAATAAATCTTTTTCTCATATTCTAAACAAAAAATATATTTGTCAAACTGTAGAGATAATTCATTTTGAAATGATTTGGTATTTGTACTCACTTTTTTATAGTTTTTGTCTATAAGTATATCGGAGACTTGTTAAAATTGTAGTATTATAATTAGCTCTTATGGTTTAAAAAACTGAACTTCCTTTTATAAATACAAAGCACCCTCCCATTTTTCCATTTACTTTTACTTTTGAAAGATTACAAATTAATCCCTTATGTATTTTTTATGTATATATAATAATACTTTTTTGCATTAAAATATTCGATAGCTTTATGTAATAACTATAACAAAATAAATAAAAAAGTATTAAAACTGTTCAATTGTGCAAAGATAAATATACAGGGTGACTGGTGAATTACTATCGATATTTGAGGACGTGATATTTGACGATCATATATGACAAAATAAAAATTAATATAACATAAATATTAATAAACTTCTAAGTAAAGTTAACCAAAAGTTATGTAATTAATTACGCATCGTGTGAACACCCTACAGATTAGGTATACACACACACTCACACAGACGCGGCGGCGGCGTAGTGTTGTATCAGCACGCCGCCACACGCGTCCACACTAGGAACACTTGGAACGTGTACACACTTTATTTATTTATACGGAAATTTGGTCAACAATTAACTACCTATTTTTTTTACATAATTCGAATGAGAATCATGTACCGAGTATGCTCCTTAAATATTGATAGTAATTCACCAGTCACCCTGTATAAGTACTTAGCTTGTTTTTTGTTAAATCAGGAAATTATTCCATTTTTCTAAAATGTCTAAAATTCCCAGAAAGTGGTAAATGAGATTTCATCTTCCAACTCTCAGGGTAATTTAGAAACTGTCCCAAAGGTCCAAAAGGCGCGTGACTAGGAACGAAATATGTTGTAAAGATTCACCAAAAACCTAATTATGCTTTTAGAAGTTCCCTTATGAATATTTTAACGCAAAATAAACTTAGTAGGTATTTTATGGCGTTGTTCTCGTGAAAGGAAATTAAAAAAAATATTTTTTTGTTACTTACAATTAAGCTATTACTACATTGAGGTATTAATGACAAATATATTTTAATATAATATTTCATCTTTTTAGAAATAAATAAATTATAATTTTTTATTAGTTCTATTTTAATGAATTTAGCACATTTACCATGTTGCAACAAATAAATTGAAAAATAATTTGTTTGATTCATACTCAATATGGATGTTAAATGGACGAACAATAGCATAATTATGTAATTACTTAAAAAGAACACTAAGCGGAAAGAAGTTGAGCGACCCTTGAAATGAATGAAAGAGAACCAGCAATTTAAACTATTTTGATCGGAAAATAGTTATGTACAACGAGCTTTATTCTTGAAATATATTAAAGTGTGAAAATAACTTTATACATACTCGTAATATTAACTTTAAAAACAGTAAAGAAAAAAATAATGTTTGAAAGAAAATAAAACTAAAGTAAAGTAAATTAAATTCATTGTAATAAAATTAGTTGACGTGCACATGTGATGCCGTATTGTGCTGTTTAAATGTACTTATTTTTTTGCTCATTCATTTACTATAATAATGGATGCAATTCAAAACCCATGGAAAAATTGCGAGATATTATGTAGAATGGACTATATACCATAATAATAAGTGATACTACCGTAGGTAAGCGAATAAATGGTAAGACTCTAAAAATATAGGTACATATTTATACAAATAGTAAGTTTGGGATTGGAATGGTCGATCAACGATATTTATTTATTAAAAAAAAAGAACTTTTTAAGCTATGTGAATGTTCCCCTGTGAGATCTCCCCCTGATTTGCTCAGTTGTTAACGCTACTTTTGTCTGGATTCTGGGTTAAAGGCAATATTTCAAGACAGAGAATGTATTTGTTTTTTTGTTTTTTATGTTAAAACAGAGCTCGATTAAAGTATTTTGTGAAATCTTTCCAAAATTATCACTTTTTATAATTTTGAAGTCAATTAGATTATTTTTTATCTTATGTGAATTGTTAGTGGATTAACAAATTAATTTATAATGGAGAGGAAATTACGTGATCAATATTGTTGACAAAACAATTTTTATAAATCATGAGTGTTCTATAAATGGAATATAATGTAAGAAAGTGCTCTCGAGTAAGGTTAAGTTATTTAATTGACATTATGAGGAAGTTAGTTATAATACGGAGAATGTGCATTAAAGTGGATACTTTTATAACTGTGTCCCCTCTCTTCTCATTAAGTTTCAGCCTCTTGAAAAATATGAAAGCTCAAAAATTATTGGCATGAATATGTTAATGAGTAAAATTTTCGCGAGTATTTGTTTAGATAAAATAAATATTTTCGGAGCTAAGCTATATATTCTCGACGTTTCGGTTACTTTGTAGCCACCTTGATCACGGACAGACGAAATTCATCTTTATTCAGCAGTCAATCGGAAAATAGTACATAGTTTTATTAAAATGAAATTAATTTTTCAATTCACCATTTGTAATAACCAATCTTGGAAAATAAGTTATAGTTTCTCAGTTTAAGGACAATTTCATCATAATCAGCCTATTGATGTCCGATGCTCATTAAAAACTTCTTCGCACAAGTATATATTAGGTTAGACTTTAGAGCATTAATCACCACGCTTTGTCAAATTTGAATTGAAATTATATGATGTTTTTCTTTATCGTCTGTAAGTAGTGTCTAAATACTCTTTGAAAGTCGAATAACATGGAAACCAACATATTGTTGCTTGTCAGGTTTCGAATCTATTTCACGGGCCTTTAACCTGTAGGCCACCACGACTTCAAGGATAACTTATGCAACAAAAATACTTTAATACTTTTCCTCAATTCAATCGATAATTTAGCAGTTCCCAATTAGTTACCTATTAATTCGATTACCTCTCAAGACAAGAAGCACCATCATTTTAATGGAACCGTTCTCTAACTACTTGAATGTTGTTAAATTTCCCCAAGATTCCAGATATAAATATTTATGGTATAGCTAACGCAACGTAACTACATCCAATATTTTAGACCTTTTCAATTTGTAATTTATTACTATACAATAAGGTCCAATATCGTATGGATCGTAATGGTTTTTATCGAGACCTGAATCGTGTCGTACGTTACACAGGTAGAAGTAGATATTTATTTATCTTCGTTTGCATAGTTTGCTTATTTAGCATTCAGCAAACTTCAGGCCGATGACATTGATTTATTAGA